TTCAGGGATGAGATACAGGGATTCATATACATGAAACTGGGGTTAAAACCTCTCCCTGTGGTTAACTTAACTCATGAAGTTGGGTCACCTGGTGTTTAGAATTTCATTTATTCTCACATTCTTGGTGGGGTTTATTAGTTGGTTTCTTATTCGTACATTCATAGATGACTGCTCAGATCCACTCTCCTCAGTTGAGTAGGCCAAAGAAATGAGTGGAAATAATTGAAGCCCTAAAGAGTGAAGGAGTTAACCTGAGGTGAACGTACAGGCTCACCTCATCATATTGCTGTACTCCTTCACGGGGAAGGAAACTCCTCACAAAGGTTACAACAGTGTCACATACACCTGCAAAAATAGCGAAGCTACCTTTTCTCTTTACACTGTTTATTCTAATTTTATATTCAGTTGTGCGAGGTTAACGTCTTATAACACTGACTTTGGACTGTCAATACTGATGATAGGCCATTAAACCATACCCGCGGCCGGGATTGAACCCGCGGTCATAGTCTCCAAAACTCCAGCGACGGGCTGGAGTTTTCAGACTCTATGACCGCGGGTTCAATCCCGGCCGGGGGTATGGTTTATTTGCAATCGTGTCATTACGATTTCTTGAGTCATGTCGATAGGCCATTACTTTTCTGATTTTCCATGTGGAACCACCAAACCCGTAGGGTCATATAGTGCTTACGGATTACGAGACAATCAGGTTTAATCATAAGATGTGGGAGGTAGAGCCAGTTTTCAGGACTAAGAGCCTGTTATTAGCATCAGGGTAACCCCCCCCCCTTAAAGCGGTGACAGGGATGATTGGGAAGGCATCAGGTATGATCGTGAATGTTGCTGAACCTTAAATCTTGGGTCTTGGGAAGGGGATTAACTGTAGGGATTGGATAGAGTATATATAGTGTTAAATAATACTTTCAGGGGAATAGGTCTGAGACATTTTGCGGTTGAGGGTGATGTAGGTGGCGGAGCCGGGATAAGTGCTCCAATGGTGTCGTTCCTGGTAAGATTGGAGGTGCAATTGGGCATGGAGGATGGGGAGGGTTCGTCTGGTTGCGCATCCCTTCCAGGGAACGCATTGTCATGTGAGAGTTTATGCACTACATTCTTCCGGCTAGAGCGTAGTTGTTTTAGAAGGTATTTCATATAGAATAATTGTGGGCGTTATGTAGGATTGCGGAATGGCTGACTCAATTGTTAATTTTATCAAGCCTAATTGCTTCCTATTATTCACGTGTTAAAAGATAATTACAGGTTAAACACTTCATAATAATAATTATTTATTATTTATTATTAATAATAAGGCTATAATCCATCTGGATATAAATAATAATGATGCTTAATTTACCTCAAAATAAGGACTGCAGTATACTTAACGTGTGGTTTAGGGGGGGGGAGTGAGCTGATCAAGGGTTATTAATCCAAGGAATTGGAGCTGTCCTTCCCTTTTCCGGATCTAGCCTGTTGGCCTCTTGTTACCCAGGCGCTGTAAACCCATACGGGCTGAGCGCTTCCCCATGAATATAGTATGCCATTTGTGTTCGAAAGTGTTCATTGGCAACGACTTAAACGACGAAAGTTTATCATTCTTTTCAGCCAAGAAACATTTTAATAATTATTTTACAACATTTTATAATAGTTTATTCCTTCTTAGAGTAATTAAAAGTTGAGGAATTGATTAAGTAATTGAAGTATATATGAAGTTCGTTCGATAGCTGAAACATAAACATATGATTTACCTCTGAAAGAACTACATTTGTAAATTATAATTATCGACAATAAGCCAGTGGAAGACCTCGGTCAAATGACAAAAAGCTCCAGCTGCGGGGTTTATCATATGAATAAGACCTGCGTCAGGATTAACGTCCTGCTTCTTGATGACATTTGCCATACTAACACATTTCATCATTTTAAACGTAAAGTATTGTATTAAATTTTAAAATATTGAAAAAAATAATGAATAAAATACGCAATACTACTTATCATGCCAGTAAGGAAAATAGCCTACAATGTAAGTAAAGCCACGTACGAGTATCTGGACATGGTGATTTAGGCGGGAGAATGGTATGAGCGGACAGTCAAGCCGCTCACATTGTTAACACAACGGTGTCGTAGCGCTTATTACTGATATTTGTGGCAGAAACAAGAGGTAAGTGTTATGTAACTTGTTGAAAGTCAACTCTGTGGTGAAGGAAAGCTGTAAGATGTACAAAAAAAAGTTAGAATTATGGTATTACTGGGATTGAACTAGGAGTTCCTGTAGGTGTTACACTATGGCGGCCTTATTTAGTCTTTTAAAAGACAAATTCCCTTCATGGAAGGTTCCCCCAATTATTATTATAATCATGGGGAGCGCTAAACCCGTAAGATTATACAGCGCATGTGGGGGGATGGAAGGTATTCAGGTTCAATTCAGGGAACCGGAGCACACATCCAATTCCCTAGATCAAGAGCCCCTCACCAACGTCAAGGAACCTCCCTTGAGGGGAAGGTTCCCCCAAGATGCCGATGATGCAAGGAATTGAACCAGCCCTCCCGTGAATCAAAGATTCCTTCATTGTCTCAGGCGCTGTATAACCTCTTAAGGGTTTAGCGCTTTCCCCTAAATGTCATACCAAGCAGTTCAAAGTTGACATTATTACCCAATACACTGAGTGAATGATATTTTGGGGTAAAAAATTTTGGATGCTTGACATATTAGTTACCTAAGTTATGGTTTTTAAAGTATCTTTATTACTTAATGCTGTATAACCCATGCCGGTTTAGAGCTTAGTTATGGTTATAATATTGCTTGATTTAATTTGTCTGATACTCTTGTTGACGTTATTTTCAAACTGATCAGTCTTGTGCAAGTGTGTGAAAATGATATTCCGCCTGGGACATGGTAAGTAATCAGGTTTAATTAAAGTAAAGGGAGGGCGTTGCTCCATTTCGCTGGATTAAGATCCCTTCATTGGCATCTTGGACCCCTTTGAAGGCTGCAGTGGGTGAAGGTGGTGTTAATTATTTTCCCTTGAAGAGAGGCAGGGGGAGGGAAGCTTGATAATTAAGGGCTTTTGATTCAGAGAATTAGAGCAACACTGCAAAGTATGAAATCTGATTTCTACCTACCATCCATTCTTCAGAGCTGAACCCTTACGGGTTAGTAGTTTATCGGTGAAGATAATATTTAGTAAAGTTCACTGACACTAATTAATTGCTTTTATTTAATCTTTAACTTTGTTCTGTTTAGTTACCGAAAGTATTTTTTCATTGGCAGTTTTTCACTAAAATAAGTTGTCAAGCCAATAGTTTCGTATACCCTTTTAAGTCTGAATTATTGTTTAGAGTTTTGTACTCTATGCCTATTTTCTACTTGCACATTAGTCGTGTATTTTCTTGTTTTAACTATCCCCATTCCTTCCCTTGTACTCCTTGATCAATCTACTTGATAGGTTGGTTTGTCTACACCCTGAAAATTTAGCATCATTGTTTATACGGGTTTAGCGCTTTATTTGTGAATAATATAATAACTCTGGGGAAGGATCACATACTTTCCCATAACAGCCTGCTTATGAAACCAGGACTACCCCTCCTTTGACACAGGCTCCCTCTTCGACTTTTTCTTGGCGACTTCGTTACACCACTGCCCACTTTCCTTACTGACTCGACAGCTTTTTGCATACTCCTAACCATTGCTAGTTTCAGATCTTCGATATTTCGTCTTCAGCACATCCTGCCTTGCAGCGCTCGCTGTATGACCCTTGTCCCCTCAAGGAAGGTTCCTTGATGTTGGTGAGGGGCTCTTGATTTAGGGAATTGGAACTGTGCTCCAGTTCCCCGAATTAAGCCTGAATGCCTTCCACATCCCTCCCCCAGGTGCTGTATAATCCTCCGGGTTTAGCACTTCCCCCTTAATTATAATATAATATGTATGACCCTTGTTGGTTTAGCGCTTAGTTATGATTGTAATATGTACCCAGGATTTTATTATTAAACTACTAGGATATTTTTCGTTTAAATTTACTACTAAAGGAATAAAAAGGAATCCTTACTTGAATATCTCTACGATCCAGTCAATAAATGCTTTGATACATGTCTCATCTCCTATAGGTGTTTGGATAATTTTATTGGGAAAATTCGAAATTAAATGTTGGCGGTAAATTCAGTTAAGGCGTTGGTGTAATAGTTCCATAATTCTTAATGGTTTACTCTCTTCGACTACCGGTTAAGTTTCCACAGGACATACCTTAGCCATAAATAGCTCATGTTACTGAGCCTAATTTATTTGTGTAGAAATCATGACAGTGGAGTAGAGGGTACATTAGGTGAGTGCTTCCCAAGGAAGTCTGGACTGTTTATCCCTCAGGTGAAGTTCCTTGATGCTGGTGAGGGGCTCTTAATATGAGGAATTGGACTTGTCCTTGAAAAGAGACTGAATGCCTTCCACTTTCACCGGGCACTAAATCCTTACTTGTTTAGCGATCCCTCTCCTTCTCCCCATGAAAGAGTGATAATGTACTGAATGGATTGGTGGATGTGTTGAGACGATTTAATTAATTTTTACTTTATTCTGAAGGACATTCCTAGCCATTCCTTTCGTTACCCCCTCCAGTTTTTTGATGTCTGAGCTTTCCACCCACCCATGGCAAGCCAGTCTTAAAACTAGCGGTCTTGTGTAATGACTGCACTGTATTTGTCTTAATAGGAATCCTCACGAATCCTTCCGGGAGTTCTGTACAATTACAATCTAAGACTCCATTTACTAATATAACTAAATTTGAAGTAGGACGGTAAATGTAGTGCAGTTGAGTTTTCATTAATTGTTGTAACTATCACTCATTGAACTAGATTAAGCTATGAAATTTCATGTAAGATTTAAGTCTTCTAAAATTGGGGTATAAAATTTTTTTATTTACTTGTCGGCAAACCTAGCTGTTAGTTGTAAACCCATATTAGAAGAAAAATGATTAGTGTGATAAACATTTTGATACTGAAGTAAAAGTAATATATTGCAGGAATGGTGTTGCCAGTTCCAGGTGCCCCGGTTAGCCCAGACTTGGCTAGACACCCAGGTATCCTCATCCACCGTCACAAGGTGAGCAGCAACTGCCATTTTTTGGGTAGATAACTGCCAGTTATGATGTAAAACTTTGGAGTTTATTGAAAAATAAGTTTGACGTTTTTGTGAATTTAATACTTTCGTATATGGCCCTTGTCTGTTTAGGACTTTCTTGATGATGATAATAATAATACAGTCGTATATTGAAGTGCTACTTAAATAAAGTTTTCATAATAATCATCATCATTACAGGTAAGTGTGTTTAACAGCTCATCGAGGGACATATACACACTGCCTGTCAGGTACGTAACGATTATGCAGTTCCATTGATCTTCATTTTTCACTGGCTTTCCTAAGTGAGATTACGTTTATATTTAATGCCTCAAGTGTTACTGAGAATTAGGTCTTGACATTCACGTGTCATGACGTCAAAAACCTGTTTAGTATTGCGTGACATGACTCGTGATGGGTATCGATGTCCAACTATTTGTCTAACCCATAGTAGGCTGTAATCCCACTTAAATTTTGCTAGTTTGTGGACAGTGTGTTTTGCTTTTACTTTCTGCTCAAGGACGCCTTCGAATTCAGTCTCTTCATTCTATGAAGCCAGTCTCTTTTTTCCCCCTGTTCCTCATGTACAGCACAAAATAATTCAACTCCATTTTCCACTCGCACTTCCTTAGCTGTAGAAAGCATCTAGGCCCCTTACCTTCACGGAGATCTGAGAACCAAAACACTATGCTGCGCAAGGTGTGAGATATCCCATCAAAGCCTTTAATGCATGATGCATGATCTTATCTTGTGAGGGTTTTATATATATATATATATATATATATATATATATATATATATATATATATATATATATATATATATATATATATATATATATATATATATTAGTCATTTTTTCCACTGGGGGCCCCTTCAAAGGATGCTGCCTTTTCACACCTATGTGCTAATGACCTTGACCCTATGATAATGACCCTTCCGGGCACGTGTCGCCTTTTCACACCTAGGTGTTACTTCCGGTTTGACCTTGACCTCGTCCTCGAGACTACCTCACCCTTGACCCCGCCCACGACCCCCGCCCGCGCCCTCGCGCCCGCCTGCGCCTTCTGCAGCGTCATCCGGATCGCCCCCGCGCCCCGATTTTTTTTTCGATTTTTTTTCTTATGCTTTCCTTGGATCAAGTTTTTGGATTCCCCCCTATGGGGGTTTTCGAAATTCCCCCGCCCCACTTTCACCCCCCAATCCCCAAAATTTATCAATATTACCAAGTTTTTTGGATTCCCCCCTATGGGGTTTTCGAAATTCCCCCTCCCCACTTTCACCCCCCCAACCCCCCAAAATTTGTCGAAATCAGTCTCCATCTCCTTGGATCAAGCTTTTCTCGATAATGCAAGTTTTTGGATTCCCCCCTCTGGGTATAAGCATTCAAAATAGACTCCTCCTATGGGGGCATGCTTACTACAGGTCTAAACAAGTCAAATGACCTAAGAAGGGCGTTTACTCGGCGGTCAGTGACGTCACGCGCACACAGGCTGAATCTTGTCGACCCGTTTAGTTCATTAAATTTTAACAAGGGGACATAGTAGTGACGTCACGTGATGACCGCGCACACAAGCTGAAACTTGTCGACTTCCCCCTATGACAGTGACGTCACTACTGTCCCCTTATTAACTTTAATGAACTAAAAGGGTCGACAAGATTCAGCCTGTGTGCGCGGTCATCACGTGACGTCACGCGCACACAGGCTGAATCTTGTCGACCCTTTTAGTTCATTAAAGTTAATAAGGGGACATAGTACCTACATCATAGGGAAAACATTTTCACTCTTAACCCCAATTTTTTCATCAGAAAGACACATTTCAGGATAACACTAATACACAATATTTTTTTTTCATTATTTATTATACAGCAATTTCTGGTAATACATCACTCTATTCTCCTACGTTTAGATGGTGGAATATCAGGGTGTCCATAAGCCAAGGATTCATTAGTATTCAAATGATATCTTTTATCATCAAAGGCTGACAAACCTCTCTTATTAATTCTTACCGTACATATTTCACCTTTTACATTACTTATAGACTTACACGTGAATAATTCTCTATCTACATTTGATAAAACATTCTTATATCTTGCATGTGTTAATAATGGCATAAATTGCGAAGGAATACCCTTGGCTCTGCTGACAGTAGTTGATCTTCCAGCAATCTTGACAGAATACATTTTAGCTTTCAGGGCTATCAACTCGCTAATATGGTTATCGCACATTAGATTTCAATAACCCCAGCTCCCATTTTCTACTATCATCATATAAGGGATGCTCAGGACTGAAATTTGAAAAATCCATATAACCTAACAATGGTTCACTTTTTAACTCGGTGTACAAATCTTTACATTTCAAGCTAAAAATATACGAGTCAGTATCGGTATAAAGAAGTCTTACATCATCACCATAATGCTGTTTTAAAACTTTATACCAAAAATGATACAATTTCTTTTTAGCTATCTCAAGAATTTGAAAACCGAGATAAAGTGGTTGCTTAACTTCTAATATATCTTTATTGAATGTGCAAATTACTCTATCTTGATTTAAATGTGTGATATTTTTTAACAAAGGATCCTTACTCGCTCTAATAAATGCTTTCTCATTATTGATATATCTATATTTCTCAGCATACTTTGTAATATTCAACAATGATTTCCCATATATGGCGTTATTAGTTAATTTGAAGGCTTTTGACTTGATAGGACATCTTGTAGCTGTTCTCTGTTCAATATTAGTTATGAAAGGTTCTAAAAATTGTCTGTATATTCATATATGGTATGAACCTTTTCCACCTCTAACCCAAGTTCCAGTAATAACTGTAACAATTCTAGACTGATCAAATAATTTTTCTAAGATAAATGACTGCCCACTAATTTCCCATTAGATTTGGAGATCTTTCTACCTTCATTTTTCAATATAGATTCACAATAAGGAGATAACATCTCTGCTGATATATTCATGTGTGATAATATTAAAGGAAGCTCATCAGTGCGCCTAGCTACCTCGGGGGATATGTGCTTGGTATCACATTCTATCCAATATCCCTTTTGACCTTCACAGGAAACATTACTTAATCCCACATCGAGGAAAGCATTCTTCTCGTCATTCGATAATTTTCTGATACCATTCTGCGGAAGAGCTTCAACCATCGCACTAGCATACAAAGAATTAAAATCTAGATATAAAATATGAGTGCCCATTCCACTCTCAACATCAAAATTAGGGTTAATTAGGGGATTATCTGCTTTAGAATACTGATTAATTGCGCACGTGAACCCTCCTCTGAGATTCCTTTTAATAAAGTCATATAATTCATGGGAATATATCATATCTAATCTTGCATTAGTTTTCAATAGGAATGCATCCCAAATGAATGATGGTAAACTTGTATAATTACTAACGTCTAGCTTATAAATATCTTTGAGTGTTTTACGCCACGGCTAACAAACCAACATCTGTCTTGAGATATAACATCAAGTAATCTCCTAAAGTCTTACATTTACCCAACTCAAACACTTTCAATGCATGTTCATAATCTTCTTGGCTGATAGCGCTATTTCTCAAAGAATTAAAAAAATGATCTTTACTCGGTAATTTTGTTTCATAGAGCTTCTTTAAACTATCAATATAATCATAACACAAAATTAGTTTTCCTTTACATAATAAAGGTAAGACATCTCGAGGCACATCTTTCAGAATAGCCTCTGTATATTTCAGGGATTTACCTGCCTTGATATGTTGTTCTGCTAACGTGGAAAGAGATCCATTCAATAAAGACAGTGAATCCTGAAACCTAACCTTACCTATGTCTACTTTCAAGAATTTGAATCCTTGTTTCGAATGAATTTCAACGTTATATTTATCAACATTCAATTCCTTTAAAATTATTCCTAAATCATACGACATGTTATGACAAAAAAAACAATAATTTCTCTCTCTTGTCTTTACACTGCATATTACAACGTGCACAATAGGCTCCAATATAATTATTTGAAAATTTAAAGTATGGTCATGGTGTTTATGTTTGTCCTTGGGTTTTTTGAAGGTGTTACCACATAATTCACAAGTGTTCTGAGAATCATGTCTCATCTTATCCTCCTCTGACATATGGATTTCATGATACTGTCTTCTAAACTTTATTTTATTCCATTCACCACTAACATTTAAAATGAAATGATTAACAGCATCCTCCCCCTTTAAACTCTTTATACACCTATTTCTCCTTTGCGATCAAATATAATATAACAATAGCAATGGCTTTATGACGAGACTCAATTTTACCTGCTGGGAGAGTTTGTCTAATGCACATTCGAAATCAAATACACCGATATATTCGTTGGAATGCGTATGACTAAAATTTTCAAAGTGTACTGTTGTTCCTTCCGGGGGGAATACGAGAACCTGATTGATTTTACATCCATCTTCGTGGATATCTAACTCTTCCTGTGTATTCAACTTCATCAAACAACTATGACAGTGCTTCTTTACACCTTTTTCTGTCATTATCGTTCTAACATACCCGTCAAAATCTTTGATTAAAACCAAATGACTTTCATTCAACAATAACGCACACATAATGTCCTTATATTTCTTATTCCCCTTACGACACATAGCCATAAATGTCCTATCTTGATCCTTTCTTAATTGATAAACATATAATGACACTTTATTTTCCTTCTCTAATATACCTAACTTATCACGTGTAATGGGAAAATCATCTATAGAAGTTTTTGCATGATTAAGACATCCATTCTTAGTATTAACTGCTCTGCGAATATGATCCCATGACATATTCTTTTTATGACATTGATAGGCAGCAAAAGCACGCAGTACACATAACCCATCATTAATCTCTGGATTAAATACATATTTCTTCCCTCGCAGTTTCTCGGGATATGCCACATATGATCCCACTCCCACTCTGAATTCTACTTTAACATATTCAATACTGAAAGATTCGATTTGATCTATGATTCAGCCAGATCCTTCCTGATCTTGCAACTCTGACTCGTATCTTTCTAATATTGTTCCCACCCATCGATCAAATACTTCAGAGATTTCCTCTTCACTTACTAACTCAAACGCTAAATTTATCACAAATTGTCCATTTTGATCATCACCCGATATGTTTTGACGTAATGTCCTTATAACTATAATTGGGTGGATTCTGAGCGACATTGCTAGAGGCGATCTATCATACATATCTCGCATCTGTTCTATAAAATAATCCCTATAAACATGTAAATACATTCTTAACTCTCTGTTATAAGTTGAAGGTACACTATATTTCCTCACTGTATGTCTACCTCTAAAATTCTGGATATATGTAATAACTTCTGGGCTCTCATCTTCACTATTATCATTACTGTCAGACACGTCATGCGAGGTAGTTGCTCTCTCATCATTAATGGGGGCAGAAGTATCCGCACCTCCGCATTGTGAGGTACCAACACTAGCAGATCTACCTGCACTCTCATCTTCATTCCTCGTCTCACCACCAAGCTGTGCGACATTACTCTCAGGTGTATTTCCTGCAGAGGAAAAAAGTATATCCAATTCATAACCCAAAAAATATTAAGATTTCAATGAATAGTAATATTACGTTCAGTAATGGGGGTAAGAAGGTCACCCTTCACAATTTTTACATGTATATAAGCATATCCAATTCATAACCCAAAATATTAAGATTTCAATGAATAGAACAAAACTTTTCTAGAGTGACTAGCACATTTTCACAACAACAAAAGATCACAATTGCTTACATACCTGTTTCTATAGCCTTCTTCCATAAAGCATCTACACGTGCCCACTCATTATCCAATTGCAATAACCTTTCATTGCGTTGTACACCGCCTTTCTCGATTACCAACGAACGCCGCTTTCTAATCGATAATCTTCTCTTCACCAATGCTTCCAAGTATTTCGAATATATGCTATCCCCTGTTAAGAATTTCACTTATTAACACTATCACCGTAAAAATTTCACTCGTATGCTCCAGCAACAAAAATTAACCAAAATTTCACTCGTATGCTTCAACAAAAATTAAACATGTAAAAACGGTTTCACCGCTTATCAAGAATTTTCTAAGTACAACTTACCTTTCTCCATGATGTGCGGTTGGAAAAGATGAGGTCCTTTAACTTAATGAGAGGAATACTGTGGGGAAGATGAGGTCGTCAGGCTTGACGGATGGAAACACAATCCTCGCTCTGAGTGACTCCTCGACCTTATATGGGCCGCCCCTTCCCCCGACGCCACTGTGTAATGCGATTCACACCCAAGGTAGAAAATCACACCTGCGTCAACACAGGTCAGTCAGTCGCCACCCTAAAGTAACTAATTTTGATGAGGCAGTCCCGCTCCACATTAACTGCGTCCCCTTATTAACTTTATTGAACTAAAAGTATTATATATCTTGAAAACCCATTAACACTTACAGTGTACAAGTCACCTCTCTATGGTAAACACCCTTTTTAGTTCATTCAACTTAATGAGAGGAAGCTTTTAGTTCATTTTTAAAATAATAAGGGGAAGATGTTGAACTTGACAACATACACATCTGCTGACGTTGATATATTTCGTTATCCATCAAGGATTATCATTGCCGGTTATTCGAATAGTGGCAAATCTTATTTCGCATCAAAATTAATAAAGTTATACCATGAGAAATTTCATAACATTATAATATGCGGGGTGACATCACATCCCTTAGAACAAGATTCAGAGATATCTCATAAATTAACATTAAGTAAAGATATTATCGACCCGCAGAATGTCATTGCATCACCTGATGAAAATACAATAATTATTGTTGATCTATTTTTAAAAGCTGGTAACAGTGAAATTATTCTCGAATGTTTTACTAAAGGTAGACATAATACAAGCATCATAATATATCGGAGGACGATATAGTCGTACCATGGCTTTAAACGCCACGCATTTTGCTTTATTTAAAATGAGGGATCTTGGACAAGTAGAGATTCTGGGGCGACAAGTGTTCGGAAAAAATAAGGAATTTGTAAATATATATAAATCTGCTATAAAACGATCACCCTTTGGTTATTTATTCATAGACTTTGCATTAAATACACCAGAAGCATTACAGTTGCGAACCAATGTGTTACGGCAGGATTCCTACGAAATTGTATACCAATGGAGCGAGCAAAATTAATTGAAAAGGTATATAGAGATCCTGGTTCTGCGGGATCATTCTCTGGGGTAAACAGTTTATATACAGCTGTAAAAAAGATCGATCCGTCCATAAATTGAAAGAGGTCAGAAATTTCTTAAATTCAGAAAGATCATATACTTTATACGTTCTTAAACCTAAGAAGTTTCCTCGTAGAAAAATAATTGCTCCTAAACCCAGAGTGATATTAACCTGTGATTTGGGTGATATGTCTAAATTATCCAGATATAATGATGGATATAAATACATTCTCGTGTGTATCGATGTTTTTTCAAGATATTTACAAGCAGTACTCATGAGAAAGAAAGACGGGCCGAGCACTTTAAATGCATTACAAAACATATTGGAGAATGAAAAGGCGAAGAATATATCGAGATTATTTACAGATAAAGGCAGGGAGTTTCTAAATAAACAGGTACAGAATTATCTCCAGAGTAAGCATATAAAGTTATATCATGTATTTTCGAAAGAAACAAAAGCTTCCATTGCAGAGAGAGGCTTGCAAACGTTGAAACGTAAATTATACAAGTATATGACAAGTGCCAATACATTTAATTATTCAAAAGTGTTAAATGAATTAGTAGATGCGTATAATTCAACTCCACACTCGGGGATTGGTGGTAAAACCCCATTGCAAGTCCATGGTATTACGTCATTGAATGATATAAGGAATCAGTTTCGGATAAATTATAAAAATGGAAGATCCAATAAGAAACGAATCAGTAAGAAGAAATTGGCTGTTGGAGACACAACAAGTGTGACTCTTAGCAGATCATCCGCGTTTAACCGAGGGTTTCACACACAAAATACAGAGGAAATATTTAAAATATATAGAATTAATAATTCTCAACCTATAACAACATATCATTTGAAAGATTTGAAAGGTGAAAAGATTAAAGGAATATTTTATCGCGAAGAATTGACCCCAGCCATACCACCACCAGAATATATTATCGACAGAGTATTGAAACGAAAAAAAATTGGTGGAATTACGCATTATTTGGTATCTTATAAAGGTTATGATTCCACTTTTAATTCGTGGGTTTGGAGAGTGAACATCTGATTACATATAAGAGTTTTCTCCAAGGCAGAACTATATTAGGTGTTGACCTGAGAAGTGAACAGGTTAAGAATGCTATATCTGTCGAGAAGAATGGTAATTTGAGAATAGATATGACATTTGGTAAACCGAAAGATGAGAATAGAATTTGTCTGATGTTTGGTGAAACTAATGCGATTTTAAATATAAATGAAAATAGAACAGTGATAGTGCATACGCGAGTATAGATCATGAATTGTGAAGAGATAAATATTGCTTTGAAACATCATACGGGAAGATATGCCTCGTATTTGTGATGTTTTGCCGCAAATAATATAAATGAAGTTATTATGAGGATAAAAGATAAGCCGGTAATTTTCATCATTAATATATTGAACGATCAAGATGAAAATATGGCTCATTGGATTACTATATATGTGAACAAATACATATTAATATATTTAGATAGTTTCGGGGTGGATTTAAAACATTATACAAATATGAGAAAATTATGTACAAGAGAAATTTCATGTACGGTATTAATCAGAGGATTCAACATGAAAAATCATTGGTGTGCGGCTTATATGCTATATATTTTGTGTATAAGTTAACAAATTATAGCGTAAAGAAAATTATACCATATTTGTTTAAAGATTTTGGTAGAAATAAATTAAAGAATGATCAATTTATATTGAAATATGCATATGAGCATTTCAATATACCTTCATGTTCAAGTGTATTTGGTAATAATTCAACCTGGAATTATGAAAATCTGTGTAAAATATTGGAATTATCGTACGGTGGGGTAGAGGCGTTTAGAGGCGGGCAAAAAGGTCATAACACTGCTATAAATGCCCGTGCTGGGTCACTCTTTGCATCTACTGACATTCAAGTAGGGTCAAGGATGAATCCAATTCAGTACTCCGTTGGAGGTGTCTGCGAGGAGGAGAGAAGACTGCATCCCTGTGTATGTTGGAATAATCCACCTGCGGTAAATGGTAAGTGAATATTGAAAAAATCTTTTTTACACATAAATGATTTTAGAAGTGTAATGTATTAACCAATAAAACTTTTTAATGCATTTAAAGATATGCCTTATTCTTCTTCTAATCGAGAAATTTTTTTTCTTTGCCAGATGCGAATATAATGCGGTTGTTGGAACTTATTCGCGCAAATCAAATCCGACAGGAGCAAATGATTTGCGAGTTGATGGGATTGTTAGGAGCGAGATCCGCCCAGCCTCCTACCCATCCATATGGTGATGCTGCTGCCCCTCCTGCCCATGGGGTTGATGTTAATGATTTTATCCAGGATATTGTAACTCCTACCCACGCTGAGATCGCACCTTCTCCCCAGTCTCATATGAGTGGAGAATGTGTTAGTAGTTGTTATTGCGATAAATGCGTATGGAGCGAGATGGAATATTTTATGACAAATTCCCAACCTACTTCATGTATGGATGAGGATTCCCCCATAAATTATCCGTCAGCTTCCCCTATAAATTATCCACCAGCTTCCCCGGATGAGGATTCCCCCATTTATTATCCACCGGCTTCCCCCCCAGAAGTTTATTGTATAACAGATGAGGAAGATGATGAACAAA